CTTTAAAAAAAAAAAGAAAATCAAAACTGACACAAGGTGATCAGAGGCTAGTGTGGAGACATATCAATCAATAGGCAGAGTAGGTAAAGTAAGGCTCAGAGAGGCATCTAACACAGAGGGAGTCAGAGACCCCTTTACCTTCTCGCCAAACACCAATGAACGAGTCAGTCAGGATTTGTGAGTGAAAGCCAGTGGATCAGAGGAAGAATGGACATGAGTCTTAGAGGCAGAGGGCCTCACCAGCAGCTGTCCCCAAGAAGGAGCAGCCACCGTCCCCCTGAACCCCACTTTCACCAGAGACCACAGGAGAGCGGCTGACAGCAAAACCAGGATAGCCCAAGGGCCGAGAGCCCAGATCAGTGGCCTGAGGTGGCCTCTGTCTGTGCCAGGGGCCTTGCATCACGGCCACTTCAGTTCGAGAAGAGACACCTTTCCCAAGTTCATTCAGCCTCACTGTACAGGTGGGGCTACTGAGGATCAGAGAGCAGCCATGTCCTGACTAAGATCGCACAGTGAATCAGTAACGAGGACTATAGAATTTGAAAGCAGGCAAGATTTACCATCACCAATTATAACTGACAATCAATCATAATTATATCTTTCACAAGATAATAGTTTGAGTTAGCATAAGATCTGGGATAGTTCTCTGATCACTGGTGTGTCTGATCTGTCAAAGAATGGCATTGACTGTGAGGTCTTCCTGTGTGCCAGACCTTGAGGCAGGTGCTCATTTATTCTGCACAACTGAAAGAAGTGTGATTCAGCTCACCTTACAGAATCTAGTAGAAGTGGTCTTGACTCACTCAACGTGGTGCTAGGACTTCAATACAGACGGCCATAGCTCTGGTGTTCACAATGACATTTCTCCACCGCATCTCACTGACGGGTGAGCCCCGCCTGGCGGGTGGGTAGTAGGAACCAGGACATTTTTCTGTGTTCTTCTCCAAACAAAACCAAAAATAAAAAATAAAAAACCAATCAAACCCATAATAAAGCACAAAATTAAATATATCGTCAGGAGAATTCAGGTTGGAATTGGCTTCTGAACGACACTCTGTTAATACAGATTCTGTTGAAAGTTCTCAAACTTTTTGAGAACTGGCAGAGAGGGGGCTGAGCAAGGGCTGACTCCAGGGAAGAGAACTTCATCAGCCAGATTCATTGAACAAGGCTGTGACTTCCCGGCCACCCAGGATTACAATCGCCACTACGGACCAGAATTGTGGACCAGAATTGTGGCTGGTTCCACGGGTCCTCTCAGGCCGGAATGAGGTGAGATGCAGTCAGGGGGTCTGGCAGGCATGGATGGAGAGGAGGAATCACTGACTCCAGCCAGGGCTTGGTAGAGGAATAGAGGGCGTACGAAGCACCTCAGAGCACGGGGAGGGTCCCCCCCCCAACAGTCTCCGGGAGCAGACATAGCGACCAGATTGGGGAAATCTCCATCTGTTGCTTGCAATTAATCAAGATGCACG